CTAATTTAGCCTCTACCTGAGGCTACCCAGCAGGAGCTACGGAGAGATCTGCAGATTCCTCTTCTTTGTTTGGGGTTTGGAGGTGCCCAGATGAGGCCCAGCTGTGAAGCAATGCAAGCTGCTGTGGGGCCTTGGTCCTTCTTTTCGATGTTCTGGGTCTCTCTGGCCCAGCTGCAGTTTGTTAGATAATTTTAGATTGCAAAGGGCCAGGGCATTCATATGCAAAAGCCTCTGCCACAGCTTGGGTGGGGCGGGGTCTCAGGGGATCAACAGAGTGGAGCAAACAGCTATGGCTGAACCTCAGTCCTGCCCCTGGTCTCAGTGTCCTGGTAATCGCTGCCAGCACCTCTGAGAGAACACTGCCCTTGAGTTCTGCCCAATGCCAGACAGTCCAGTTTCTCCCGTTATGAGTCTGGGTCCCCAGAGACTCGCCTGGTACTGGCTTTCAGAGCCATTGGGAGCTTGTGTCTCCCTCCCGATTGAAAAAGACAACCGCATCCTCAGTTGCCAGCCCTTTCCTTGCGTGCCTCCGTACCGCTGCACTTTACTTCCACACCTCCTCTGAGTCTCAGTGTGCTTTTCTCTTTCCTTCTAGTTGTAGAATTTCCACTCAGCCAGCCTTCCTGTGGTTCTGGATGATGTCCGTTTTGTCTTTTAGTTGTATTTTTGACAGGGGGGGTGTCCCTCAGCCTGGCCTTTGCCCTCTCACAGTCAGGAAGCCCTCCCTCGGGGGATGTGAGCCTGGCTCAGGGCTTCTGGCTGAGTGGCACTTCCCTCTTTTGACCATTTCTTTTTAAAGTGAAGAAAAATTCAAATTGATGGTTGCCAGATGTGAATAGGGGGTGGGTGAAAATGGTAAAGGAATTAAGAAGTACAAAACAGTTACAAAATAGTCACAGGGATATAAAGTATAGCATAGGGAATCTAGTCATTAATACTACAATAACCATGTATGGTGTCAAGTGGGTACTAGACTTATGGGGGAGGGGTCATTTTGTAAATTGTATAAGTGTCTAACCACTATATCGTACACCTAAAACTAATTTAATATTAAATATCAACTCTAATTAAATTTTTTTAAATAAAGTGAAGAAATACTCTTTTGAATTGATGTTTATTACAGACTTACATCCACTAATCAGAATGCAAACTTTTTCTAGGAAATGAACTTCAAAAAAGATAAATAATTAAAGTGGCTAAAATGCTAAATAAGTCAACAAAAGTACTAACTTTGTGCCCTGTTCCAAGCTCCATGCTGGGCACTGCTACATAGCTGACATGTTACATGGCTAACAAGACACAGGAAATCCTGGCCTTCACGGTACCTGCAGTCTCCCAGGAGAGTCAAACAACTATAACTCAGCATAAGTGCTATGATAAATGTTATAGCAAAACGAAGGTGGGATGCAGGCAAGGCCGCTGAAGCAAATAATATCTAAGCCAACAGCTGAATAGTAATTAACAGTTAACCAGTTAAGAGAGGTAGAAGAAAATAATCTGGGCTGAAAGAATAGCTAGCAAAGGCTAGGAAACAAGAAGACACATTTAAGAAAAAAATGTTGAGAATAGCTGAAAATAATGGATTGTGGTGACAATGACCTTGTAAGCCATGTTAAAAAATCTAGAGTACTAAGATCAACTGAGTACTTAAAAGCTTTTGCATTTGGGGGACTAAAACATCACTCTCACTGCCACCTAGAAAATGGTTTAGAGCAGTGGTTCTCAACCTTCCTAATGCTGCGACCCTTTAATATAGTTCCTCATGTTGTGGTGACCCCCAACCATAAAATTATTTTCGTTGCTACTTCATAACTGTAATTTTGCTACTGTTATGAATCCTAATGTAAGTATCTGATATGCAGGATGTATTTTCATTGTTACAAATTGAGCATAATTAAAGCATAGTGATTAATCACAAAAACAATATGTAATTATATATGTGTTTTCCGATGGTCTTAGGCAACCCCTGTGAAAGGGTCGTTCGATCCCCAAAGGGGTCACGACCCATAGGTTGAGAACCACTGGTTTAGAGAGACCTGAAGGAACAGAAATAATGGTGGCCTTAAATACAACCGTGGCTGTGGGCAGGCGGAAAGTGTATAAGTCTGACATATAGTTAGAATCTAGAATCCTCAGGATGTAGGAGTCAAGGGAGGCAGGAGTCAAAACCCATGCCCAGGATTTGGGCCTTGACAATACAGTGGACAACGATGACCTTTGTTGAGACAGGAACACAGGATGCTAACAAACATGACAGGAGAGAGACAATGACTTCTGCATGGAATAGGCTGAGCCTGAGCTGTCCTTTCAGGACACACAGAGACCTGTCCAACAGTCTGCTGCTCCAGAGAGACACATGGGACAGTTAAGGAGGCCAAAGAAAAGGCCAGAATTGCCCCGGAAAAATGTCAGGGGAAGCAAAAAGGGCCTTGGAGACTGGAGCACCAAGGACATTTACTGCAAAGGTAGAACAGCCCATCTGAAAAATGCTGTTTTTTTCCCTAGGAGAAAAATCGTAAAAAAATAATAATTAATTAATTAATTAATTAATTACTGGATCCGTGAAACAGTATCTCTGCCACCTCCATGCCCCCTTTCTCCTTTCCCCCACCCCAAAATTTCAGAATATTTATGTGATTATTGGGGGTAAAACATCACTAATATAGTTTTAGTAATTTAACTGTGATGGTTTTTATAGTGTTCATGATTTAAGAGTTCGTGAACAGATCTGAGGCTAATAGTCTACTTTCCAGAATAAATTATTTTAAATGCATTAAATTCAATAAGCATTCACCAAGTACCCTCTACATGCATGCCAATCAGAAAGATAAAGATTGGCAACACTCACTCCCTGCCCTTCAGGACTTCACAATTAACACATTAAGCACCCAGTCACTCACCGGTGACTGACACTATACTTTCCGTCCGGAAGACAAAACAGGCTGGCGCTTAACGTGCTAATAGGTACCACACACACACACAAACAGAATGTTGTAAAAACAAGATGAGCTATAACAGAAGCCCTGAGGAGAGCTTCCCCTAACAGTCTGGGAGAGAGGGACCAGAGAGTGACAACTAAGCCCAGTCTTTACAGATAAAAGTAATTCAGGTAGGATGGACAAGGGAGAAAACAGCTTGCGAAGGGATACCATGAGAACAAAGTGTGTGAGAAGAGGTATGGGTGGAGAAATGCAAATATTCATTACTGTTACAGTATAAAAGGTGGGCAAGGAGGGGCAGGGCCAGATCACCAAGAACTTTATACGACATTATAAGAAGTTAGAAGCTGTGGACCCTGAGAAAGAAGAAAATTACTAAAAAGGGCTCCCAGTGGCTAACTGGGCTCAAATTTAAAAAACAAGAAACTAAAAACAACCAGAGTCTAGCAGCCATTTCTACTTGGGCCTCTCATGCAAATGGCACTTCACAGAGAAGCCTGCATAACTACCTGTCTCCTACACTGTGCTCCAGACATCTCAGCCAGCCCTTATAAAGGAGTTCCTGGAATCCTATTTCAGCCAATAGGACTGAGGTTTTTCCTTCCAATTGGAGCTTTCAACTTCTTCACTGACCAATCAGAGCATCTCCATTCTGAAAATTCAGGACAGTGTCTTTTGGACCAATCAAACTGCAAAGATTTGGAGCCCTCATGTGCAGAAGATGGACCAATCAGGGACTGGGGGCGGGGGAGGGGGGGCGGAATTGTGTCTATATTTCAGCTCCCCTCTGGTTCTGAGAGTGCAATTTCCTTTTCCACCAAAGACTGCATTTCCCTGGCTATAGCTGAAATACTGAAGATGTCTCGCAACAGCAGACTGGCACAAAACTGAGCAGACCACTGTAGGGCAAAGCAGACCAGCACACAGCAGAGCAAAGAAGACCAGCAAGGAGCAGAGCAGAGCTGTCTAGCTGGAGAGAGAGACCAGGCCGCCACCTCACCCCAGGGCCACCTCACAGCTGTGCTGTTTTCATAGCTCTGCTGTATCATAATTGAGCTGTTTGCAATGAATAAAGTTTCCTTTTTCAATGAGCCACATATTGGGGATTCCTGTTGGCACTGAATTGGCGCCAAGACCATTGGATGAAAAAGCTTATGCTTTAAGCAAAGGAGAACCCATTAAGAGTTTAAGGCAGGTTTTCATTTTTGGTACATAAGCTATTGTACTGCTGGTTTTATAGTTGATGGACTTGCAGAATTTCAGGCTGGAGGAAGAGATATCAGTTAGGCAACAAGGAGACTGCCACAATAAGGAGGACACAAATGAAGGTCAGAAATAGACGGAGTAAAGGAAATAGTAGAGATGAGTGATATAACTTCAGGATGGACTGGAAGTGTGGGATACAAAAAAAGTCAAAGATGAATCCCAGATTCCTAACCTGGGTGACTAACGTGAAAAATGAGGCTCTCTACCATGGAGAAATTTCAGGAAGTTTTTAAACGTAAAATGATGAGTTCAATTTGGACATGTTTGAAATAGAAAACGTAGTACCAAGCCCAGTTGCTCTCTTAACCTTAACCTGGCACTTAATCACAATTGGAATACTGTGTACTTCCCCACTAAATGCAAGCCCCGTGAGTGCAGCGACCTCGTCATAGTCACCACATGCTCCTTGCTATCTGTCAAACTGCCCGGCACAAAGTTCATTCGAAAAATAGTTACTGAACAAATAAGTGCGTACATGAAAAAATAAGTAAATGAAGTTGCATTTTAATGCTTTTCCCTAAGCAAGGTGTTTTGAATAGAGACCCTTTTGGAAGTAGATGATCCTCTTCTCAGCCTCCTAATTACTACTTGTCCTGAGTTCTCAACAAATCCAGAAGCCTGATCAGCATACCATCTTCTTTAATAAATTTTAGCACTGAAAATTACAATTTAAAGTGGGACGCCAAACGCTATTTGATCATTTTTGTCCCTTTTCTTATCTCGCACATATTTAAATGTTGACTAAATTATTTTACTTTCTCCCAAGAGAGGAAACAGGCAAGATTTTTATTACCTAGTTGAAGCAAAAAATATACCAACAATTAAAACACAATTTTTCAGGGAAGGAAAAAAAGCACACTCTCAGCAAGAGAAATATAAAAACTTAGCTAAAATAAACAAAAGAAGGACTAGAAAAAATGTCTCAAGATGCCTTCAACATTACTTTAATGTAAAAATAAGACCCAAAAGATATTATAAATGGCAAGAAACAGATAACCAAAAATAATAAATGGATCATCTATGTGCCCAGAATTCTACTGAACTACAAAATATAGGGGGAGGACGGAAACATATGCTGGCATCCAGATATTACCACAAAGGATTTTAAAAAACAAGGATAATCCGAGGAGATGAAAAATGGTGGCAGAGCCCTGCCCGGCTTGGCTCAGTGGATAGAGCGTCAGCCTGCGGATTGAAGGGTCCCAGGTTTGATTCCGGCCAAGGGCACATGCCTGGGTTGCAGGCTTGATCCCCCATGGGGGGCGTGCAGGAGGCAGCCAATCAATGATTCTCTCTCATCATTGATGTTTTTATCTCTCTCTCCTTCCTTCCTCTATGAAATCAATAAAGAAATATATATTTTTTAAAAAGATGGTGGCAGAGTAAATGGATGCTGCACAGACAAGCTCCCAGGACCAAACTGGAATTACAACTAGAATACAGAAAAACTGGGGGATCCAAGATGGCTGCCTACAGGACAGCAGGCTGCAAGATAGTGTGAGAGTGCGAAAGGAGAGTGCGTGGACGTGCGGTGAGTGTCTGTATTTGTGAGTGAGGGACAGCTATATTCCAAGGAACTGATGGGGACTAGCGGACCAGGCTCCCCTGGCCGGGCAGCCTCTACTGCTGCTGAAACCTCTCCCGGAGCAGCCGACTCTGCCACAGAGACCACGCCATCGTGAAGGGGAGAGTGGCTGTGATTGGAAACCCAGCCTTAGCTTCAACCAGGGAGACCTTGGATACCTCCCAGGATCCTACAACCACAACACCCTGGGACCAGCTGCCTCAGCTGCGAATCCAGGAACACCGAGACTCCAGTCTCCCTGGCTGCGGGAGCCTAAAAAGTCTGTCCAGGGGGAGACAAAGTGGCGCGAATATGCAAACGAGCCCTGCACCTTCTCACAAAGCAGATAGAAGAAACAGCTGAATTGAATAACACCCACCTGGAATTGGCAAATTAAACATGGCTGGTGAGGCAATCAGTGGACAGAAAGATCAGATATCGCCTAGAGAAAGCTTTGCCTCCTCAGATTCCTCTGGGTGTTTGTTGTTTGGGTGTTTGTAGTTTACACATTTTGGATTAGTTGTTGTTTATAGTTTGCATTTATCTCTGGGTGTTTGTTGTTTGCATTTTTTGGATTAGTTGTTGTTTGATTAGAGTTTTCTCCCCATCTATATAATAAAAACCCAGTGGTTATAACGCTGTAACGACCAAAGACCAGTCACCAGGAGGTGCATTGAGCACCTCCCCCCCCCCCCCCCCCCCCCGGCCTATGAGCAGCGCCTCTCGTGGTGGGCGGGGAGGGGTGTGAACTGCTAGCAGTGGAGAGCTACAAGCGGCTGAGGGCTACGAGTGGAGGAAGGCCACGAGCAGCAGAGGGCTATGAGCAGCAGAGGGCAGGGCAGTGAGTTACAAGCAGCGGAGAGATATGAGCAGCGGATGGCGGGGCAGCGAGCTACAAGCGGCGGAGAGCGGGGCGGGAAGCTGAGGCAAGCGGAAGTAAGCTACTCACGCACGATTTCATGCACACTGGTCCTCTAGTATACATATTTTTCCCCTTCTTTTTTCTTCTCTTTCTTTTCTCTCTTACATTTTCTCCTTTTCTCAATATCATTTTTGCACTCTTTTCTATCCCCTACTTTTCTTTTCCCTGATGGTCACCTTTATTTGGGGTTATTAGTATTGTGAATACATTTGTGTTTAGTGCCCAGTGTGTTGTGTCTTCTTGTGTTGTATCTTGTGCCTTTAAATCAATGCAGGAGAGAGAAAGCTACATAACCAGACACCTGGAGAGGAGCGATCACAGGGAGACACAGAAACAGCCTACATATGAAAGACAAGGAGGAATCACCAGAAAAGGAAGTAAACGAAATGGAGGCAAGCAATATGTCAGAGAAAGAATTCAGAGAAATGGTCATAAAGTCGCTGAAAAGGATGGAAGACAAATTCAACAATATGTGTAAGAACCAAGAGAAAATGAAGAACCAAGAAGAAATAAAAAATGACATCGCTGCAATAAAGAGCTCAATAGAAAGCATTAACAGTAGACTACAAGAAGCGGAGTACTGCATCAGTGAGCTAGAAGACAAGGTAGGGGAAAAGACGCGAGCAGAGCAGCATCTAGAAAAAAAACTTAAAAAACAGGACGAGAGCCTAAGGGAACTCTGGGACAACATAAAATAAAACAACATCTGCATCATCGGGGTGCCAGAAGGAGAGGAAACTGAACACGGAATAGAAAACCTGTTTGAAGAGATAATGACAGAAAACTTCCCTGATATAGGGAAGAAAAAACTCACACAAGTCTAAGAAGCTCACAGAGTCCCAAATAAGATGAACCCAAAAGACCGACACCAAGAAACATCATAATTAAATTGGCAAACACCAACAACAAAGTAAGAATCTTAAAGGCTGCCAGAGACAGACAGAAAGTTACCTACAAGGGATCTCCCATTAGAATATCAACTGACTTTTCAACAGAAACACATCAGGCCACAAGAGAATGGAATGGAATGAAATATATAAAGTCATGCAAAACAAGGGGCTAAATCCAATAATACTGTATCCAGCAAGGCTATCAATCAAAGTTGAGGGTGAAGTCAGGAGCTTCACAGACGAAAAAAGGACTAAGGGAGTTTATTACCTCCAAACCAGGAAGGCAAGAAATGCTAAAGGGGCTGCTATAAAAAGAAGAAACAGGAAGGGAAGAAGGAACACAGGCAAAAAGAATAAAAATGGTGACAAACAAGTACCTATCAATAATAACTTTAAATGTAAATGGATCAAATGCCCCAATCAAAAAACATAGGGTAGATGAGTGGATAAGAAAACATGATCCATATATCTGCTGTCTACAGGAAACCCACCTCAGAACAAAGGACTCACACAGACTGATGGTGAAGGGATGGGAAAAGGTTTTCCGGCAAATGGAAATGGAAAAAAAAAAAAGCTGGGGCAGCAATACTTATATCTGACAAATTAGACCTCAAAGTGAAGGCCATAACAAGAGATAAGGAAGGTCACTTCATAATACTAGAGGGAGCAATTCAAGAAAAAGATATAACTCTGGTAAATATATATGCACCCAATACAGGAGCACCCAAATACATAAAAAAAACTTCTGGAGGATATCAAGGGAGAGATTGACAACAATACAGTCATAGTAGGGGACTTTAATACCCCACTAATATCACTGGACAAATCTTCTAAACAAAAAGTCAGCAAAGAAACATCAATCCCAAATTACTCACTAGATCAGATGGAATTAATTAACATCTTCAGAACATTTCACCCCAAAGCCACAGAATATACATTCTTCTCAAGTGAACACAAGTCATTTTCAAAGATAGACCACATATTGGGACACAGGCAAACTCTCTTCAAATTTAAAAAGATAGAAATCATTTCAAGATTCTTCTCAGATCACAATGGCATAAAACTGGAAATCAATTACAATAAAAACAATTTAAAAAATCAAACACCTGGAGGCTAAATAGCATTCTATGACTGGGTTACCAAATAATGACTGGGTTACCAAAGAGATCAAAGAAGAAATAAAAAGCATCCTGGCAACAAATGACAATGAAAACACAACAATCCAAAATCTATGGGACACAGTGAAAGCAGTCTTGAGAGGGAAGTTCATAACTCTACAGGCCTATCTCAAAAAACAAGAACAAATGGTAATAAATTATCTAACACTACAACTCAAAGAGTTAGAAAGGGAGCAACAAGAAACGCCCAGAGTAAACAGAATGAAGGAAATAATAAAGAACAGAGTGGAGATAAACAACATAGAGACAAAAAAAAAAAAAACAGTACAAAATGGACAACCTATATGAAATGGACACATTTTTAGAAAAATACAAGCTCCCAAAAGTCAATCAAGAAGCATAAAAAAACCTGAATAGGTCAATAACTACCAAAGGAATTGAGGCAGCAATAAAAAATCTGCCAGCAAACAAAAGCCCTGGTCCAGATGGCTTTACAGGGGAGTTCTACCAAGCAAAAACTAAAACCATTTCCCCTAAGAACAGGAACAAGACAGGGATGTCTGCTTTTACCACTCTTATGCAACATAATATGGGAAATCCTAGCCACAGAAATCACACTACAAGAAAGAATGAAAGGCATCTAAATTGGAAAGAAAGAAGTAAAACTGTCATTATTTACAGACTAGAGTCCCGGTGCACGAAATTCATGCACGGGTGGGGTCCCTAGGCCTGGCCAGCGATCAGGGCCGATCAGGTTCCCCGCCTCCCCCCCTTCCCTCGCCACCCGCATCCGCCACTATCCACCCCCGGTTCCCCGTCCCAGTCTAGGGCCCGGCCCTAATCAGGCGATCGGGACCTGCTGGCTGGGGGTGAGGGACTGGGAGGATGGCCAGCAGGCCCCAATCAGGTGATCGGGGCCTGCGAGCCAGGTTGAGGGGCCAACCGCCACCACGGCAGGTGGTTGGCAGCTGATCAGAGCCTGCCGGCCCGGGGGAGAGTTGGGGGAGGGACCTGGGAGGTTGGCCACCGGCGCCGAGGAAGGAGCTGGCCCTCGGCCCCCCTGGGAAAGGGGCCGTTTCCGCCGCCACCCACTCCCAGTTCCCCGTGCCAGCCTGAGGGCCCAACCCCAATCAGGAAATTGGGGCCTGCCGGCCGGGGGGGAAAAACCAGGAAGTTGGTTGGCAGGCCCCATTGGCTATCAGGGCCTGCGGGCTGGGGGCAGCACCTGCATTGAATGTCTTCCCCGATGGTCAGCGCACATCATAGTGACCGATCGTTCCGGTCGCTTAGATTTTTATATATATAGATGACATGATATTGTATATGGAAAACCCTAAAGACTCCACCAGGAAGCTACTAGATTTAATACATGAATTTGGCAATGTAGCAGGATCCAAAATTAACACCCAGAAACCAATGCTTTTTTATACACTAATAATGTATTCTCAGAAAGAGAAATTAAAAGAAATACCATTTACCAGTGCAACAAAAAAAATAAGATACTTTGGAATAAACTTAACCAAAAAGGTAAAAAGACCTATACTCAAAAAACTATAGGACATTGAAAAAAGAGACAGAGGAAGAAGAATATAGCATGCTCATGAATTGGTAGAATTAACATCATTAAAATGTCTATACAACCCAAATCATTCTATAGATTCAACCCTGTCCTTACTTAATTTGGCTCATGTAGTGACAGGTAGCCTCGGACCCATTGTATACTTCCAACAATAAGGATAATTTTGTTTTGAAAATATAGAATCCAAGACTGGAGTTCTAAAAAAAATATCAGTTGCGATCTAAGAAAACTCTAAAAGGCAGTTTAATCAACTCAGAAATAAAATCAATGAATAAAAGGAGTACCTGATCAAAGATAGTGAAACTTAAAAAAAATAAATAGAAACTCTGGAAATGAAGAAATAGAGCTGACCTGAAGGAGGAAAGAATTAGAAATATTAAAGATAAAAATCCAGAAATGATGTGCATGGAAAAGAAAGGGACTTGAAGAGAAGGGAAGGGAAGGGAAGGGAAGGGAAGGGAAGGGAAGGGAAGGGAAGAGAAAAGAAAGGAAGGGAAGGGAAGGAAATGGAAGGGAAGGGAAGAGAATAAGGAAGAGCTCTAGGAGAACTATTTGACTCCATCAGAAAGAGCAATATAAGAACAATGTGTATTACAGAAGGATAAGAAAGGGGAAGGGAATAAACCACCTATTCAAACAAATAATCAATGAGAACTTAAAAAACCTATGGAACAAACTGGAACCTCAAATCTAAGAAGCAAACAGAATATCTAATTATCTCAATCCAAAAGGCCTTCCAAAGAACAATATATTAAAACTGTCAAAAATTAATGTCAAAGAAAGAATTCTCAAGGCATCCAGGAAATAAAAGATGGTAACCCACACTAGAAATCCCACTAAATTATCATCATGGTTTTGTTTTGTTTTTTCACTAGAAATCCTACAAGCTAGAAAAGATTGGAATCAAATATTCAAATTATTAAAAAAAAATTCACCAGCCAAGAATAATACATCCAGCAAAGATATCTTTTAAATATAAAGGAAAAATGAAGACTTTTCCAGGCACACAGGAGCTGAGGGAATTTACCACCAGAAGACCTGCATTACAGGAAACACTGAAGGGCATTCTACCTAAAACAAAAGATAAGAGAATACAAAACTATGAGTAAGATGACTAACAGAGAAACAAAAGTAGGAAATAGCAACCCTTATTCAGAACATGATAATATAGACTCAAATATAACATAAAGGTTAAGAGAGGTAAAAAACATTTAAAAAGACAACAGCTCCTGCAATTGAGAAATGAACTCACAACATAGAAAGGGATAATTTGTGACAACTAAAACATAAAAGGGAAGGAGGTAAAGGTCTGAATTTGCACAGGGAAATGGAGATAAGATGCACAAAAGGAAAAGGACAGTGTATATATGAAACTTTCTTTTACATGAACCTAATTATAACCATGAAATAAAGTCTAGAACTGAGATACATAACATAAAAATCATAGAATAACACCAAACCAAAAATAAAAAGACAGAAATACAAGAAAAAATGGAATAAAGACAGATGACAGAAAACAAAAAATAAAATGGCTATAGAAAATGCTTATATATCAATAGTCACCGTAAATGCAAAACAACTTAACTCACCAATTAAAAGGCACAGAGTAGAGGGTTGAATCAAAACACAAAACCCATCTACATGCTGCTTTCAGGAGACACACGTCAGTTGCAAGGACAAACAAAGATTCAAAGTGATTTGAGGTGGAAAACAATACTCCAAAGAAAAGTGACTCTAGCTACACTTATATCTAAAAAATAGATTTCAAGATAAAAAGGAAAGAAGAGACAAAGATGAACATTTTATAGAGCGAGGAATAATAAATCAAGAAGACAACACTTTTCAATATACGTATTAAACACCTAAATATATAAAGCAACTACTAACAAAACTAAAGGGAAAAACTGACAAAAACACAATTATAGTGGAGAACTTAAATATCCCATTCACAGCAATGGATAGATCATTCTAACAAAATAAATAAGGAAATGTTGACATTAAATAACACACTAGAACTGGAGATAATCGAAGAGCTTTTCATCCCAGAAAACCAGATTATATATTCTCCTCTAATGCACATAGAACATTTTCAAGGATATACCATATGTTGGACACAAAACTAGCCTCAGAAGACTGAAATCATATCACACACATTCTCCAACCACAATGCTTTCAAATTAGAAATATATTGAAAGAAGAAAGTGGGAAAAAAGTAGAAATTGGTGAAGATTAAACAACATGCTGCTGCCCTGGTCAGTGTGGCTCAGTTGCATGGAGCATTGTCCCACATACAGAAAGATCGTGGGCTCAATTCCCAGTCAGGTCACATACCTAGGTTGCAGTTTCAATCCCTGATTGGGGCACATACAGAAGGCAATCAATCAATGTTCTCTTTCACATCAATGTATCTCTCTTTCTCTCCCTCTTCCTCTCCACCCCTTCTCTCTAAAATCAATAAGCATATTCTTGGGTAAGGATTAAAGAAAAACACATGCTACTAAACAGGGACTGGGTCAAAGAAGAAATAAAAGATCAAAAGACAAATACAGAAATATAGAATAACAATAAGACGTAGCAAAATTTTGAGGTTACAGCAAAAGCAGTAATAAGAGGGAAGTTTGTATTATTACAGGCCTTCCTTAAGAAACAATAAAAATCTCAAATAAACAATGTAACGTTTCACTTTGAAGAACTATAAAAAGAAAAAACAAGGCCCAAAATCAGTAGAAGGAAGGAAATATTAAAAATTAGAGTGGATTTAAACAAAATAGAAAACAAAAAGACAATTGAAAAAAATTAATGCAACAAAGAGCTGGTTCTTAAAGATTAGTAAAATTGACAAACCTCTGGCTAGACTCACTAATATCAGAATAGTGAATAGACTCAAACAATATCAGAAATAAAAGAGGAAAAGTTACAACAGACACCACAGAAATACAAAGGACTATACAATACTATGAAAGGCTAAATGCTTCCAAATTCAATAACCTAAAGAAATGGACAACTTTGTAGAAATATATAACCTTCCTAGACTAAATCATGAAGACCTGGGAAATCTAAATAGACCAGTCAACAGTGAGAAAATTAAAACAACCATTAAAGCCCCCCCCCCCCATGAAGCAAAAGTCGAGGACCAGATGGCTTTACTAGTGAATTCTACCAGGCACTGGAAGATTTAATAACTATTCTTCTCAAACTCTTCCAAAAAGCTGAAGCAGCAGCAATACTTACGAATTCATTTTAGGACATAAAGCCTGGCAAGGGTAACACACAGAAAGAAAATTAAAGACCAATATCTCTGATGAACACAGATGCACAAGTCCTAAACAAAATACTAACAGGGGCACAGGATGTTGCAGCATACACAAACTGATCCATGTAATACACATTAACAAAATAAAGGATAAAAATCATATGCTCATATCAACAGATAGTGAAAAAGCAATAGACAAGATACAACATCCATTCATGATTCACTCAATAAAAGAGTGTATGTATAGAAGGAAAGTACCTCAACATAATGAAGGTCATTAATGACAAACCCTCAGCTAATATTATACTCAATGGTGAAACAATGAAAGCTTTTTCTTTAAGGTCAGGAACAAGACAAGGATGTCCATTCTCATCGCTATTATTCAACATCCTATATAATAAAAGGGTAATATGCAAATTGACCCAGAGGGATCTCTGAATGCAGCTTAGGCCCTATCCCCCAGGGAGCGGGCCTAAGCCAGCAGGTGGACATCCTCCGAGGGGTCCCAGACTGCGAGAGGGCACAGGCCGGGCTGAGGGACCCCCCCACCCCGAGTGCACAAATTTTTGTGCACCGGGCCTCTAGTCCTATATAATAGAAGCTTATATGCTAAGTGTCCGTTCGACCAGTTGGCTGTTCAACCAATCAAAGCATAATATGCTAATGATATTCTAAGGCCACTTAACCGCTCGCTATGATGTGCACTGACCACCAGAGGGCAGAAGATACGACCGGTAGGTGAGCTTGCTGCTGGCGTCCGGCCAATCGGGACTGAGCGAGACGGGCCGGACATGCCCTGGAGCCCTCCCATGGTCCCTCTCCAGCTGGCCAACCTCCCGCGTCCCTCCAGGGCCCTGATCGTGCACCAGTGGGGTCCCTCGGCCTAGCCTGCGCCCTCTCGCAATCCTGGACCCCTTGGGGGACGCTGACCTGCTGGTTTCAGCCTGATCCCCACAGGACAGGCTGAGGGATCCCACCAGTGCACGAATCTATGCACCAGGCCGGATTCAGCCCTATCCCTGCAGGCCAGGCAAAGGGACCCTGGGCCTCTAGTCCTATCTAATAAAAGAGTAATATGCAAATTAACTGTCACTCCATGACAAAGATGGCGGCGTCCATAGTGGCCAGGGCAGGACACTGGCGGCGTCACCCCAGCAACGTGAGCCTAGGAGCCAAGTGCGGCCAGCAGGCAGCACCCAGCAGGGCCTGCTTGCCCATTGCCATGGTGTGGAGCAGGCAGGCCCTGCACAGAGCAGAGAACCATGAGGAGCGGGCCCAAGCTGCCAGTAGGACATACCCTGAGGGCTTCCAGATTGGAGAGGGTGCAGGTCAGGCTGAGGGACCGGCCCCCCCACCCCATGCATGAATTTCGTGCACCGGGCCTCTAGTCTATATATATAAAATCCTAAGCAACTGAACGACTGGTCGACCGGTCACTATGATGCGCACTGACCACCAGGGAGCAGATGCTCAACACAGGAGCTGCCTCCTGGTGATCCGTGCACTCCCACAGCGGGAGCAAAGCTCAGCTGACCAATGGGCGCCAGACACAGGGCTCACGGCTGGCTGCTGCAGCCCAGAGACCGCAGCAGAGTGGCAGCAAGCCTACCAACTCATGGCGGCAGCAAGCGCAGCAGGGCCGGGATAAGCAGGAGCAGCAGGCGGCATTGTACTGCCAGTTTTGGCCCCATCCCCGCAGGCTACGCCGAGGGACCCCACTGGTTTAGGAATCCGTGCATCGGGCCTCTAGTATGCATATAAGGTCTTTGGTTAATCTCTCCCTACCCTCCCGCTTTCCCTCTGAGATTCATCCGTCTGTTCCATGTTTCCATGCCTGTGTGCTGAGCATCTGCCCCCTGGTGGTCAGTGTGCATCATAGCTACCGGTCGAACAGTCAAACAGTCACTTAGGCTTTTATATATATAGATACCTGCAAGAGATCCCGGATTGCGAGAGGGCGCAGGCCAGGCCAAGAGACCCCACTGGTGCACGATCGGGGCTGGGGGGGGACTGCGGGAGGTTGGCCAGCTGGGGAGGGACTGCAGGAGGGCCTCAGGGCGTGTCCGGCCTGTCTCGCCCAGTCCCGATCAGCTGGACCCCGGCAGCAAGCTAACCCACCAGTTGGAGCATCTGCCCCCTGGTGGTCAATGCGTGTCATAGCTACCAGTCGAATAGTCACTTAAGGTTTTATATCCTACTAGAGGCCCGGTGCATGAAACTCGCGAACAGGTAGGATCCCTAGGCCTGGCCAGTGATCAGGGTCAATCTGTGGGGTGACCAGCGGGGCAATTGGGGAGCCCCCGCTGGCACCCGCCTTGGCTGGGCTGGGGCCTGCGGGCTGGGGGCAGCTCCTGCATTGAGTGTTTGCCCCCTGGTGGTCAGTGTGCATCATAGCAATTGGTCGTTCCGCCGTTCAGTCAAGTTTCATGCACTGGGCCTCTAGTATATAGATAAGAATAATATAAGATGATAGCTGAATATATAACAGAAGTTGTTGGCCCAGAGCTTAGGAAGAATAATAATTGAGGGCTGAATCAACTTAGAGTAGGAGAACCCAGCTACACAAAGGCCAGATAACACTTGCTTCCTTGGAAGAAGTGTTGCTATCATAACAAATGGGACACATCACAGTCTCTCCTCAAGTGATTATTTACCTATCTATTAATTATAAAAAGTAATTATTTATTAATTTGAAACTAGATACTGGTGCTAGTGGATGAAAGTGTTAGGAAAACCATGGATCAGCCAAGAAATGCAGTAAATGTAGATTTAAATTCATCAACACCATTAATCACAACAAAAAGCCTACTTAAAGTGCAACTATGTTCGGATTCAGTGTTCTATTTTTAAGCCTGGAGAGAAAAATCTCAAAGAAGCATGTTAGAAGAGCTCTCTGCTAGAATGAACTGCTAAGAAGCAACATTCTACAAACATCACAAAGGTTTTTACAGTGGTAAGTTAATTCAGATGTCAATTAAGGCTTTAAGCCTTCAATAATTTCCAGAATCCAAAAAGCACATACCTAACATAGTTAAAAAGACACTCAAAATTTATAAACAAATGTCAAGCAAATTATTTAATCCTCAAAAAACTCAATACTCACAGATAATGATCAGGATCAAATTTGGCCAGCTCAGCAGCCAGGCGTTTCTGCCTGTGTTCAGCTGCAGGAGTAAAATCTGGATCCTTAATATCAATGACGTCACTGAATTCATCCTAAGGACACCAAGAAAAAATAATTGCTATCTCTTATTTTAGCACTGGCAAGTCTAATTTTATACAAATTGTCAAAACACAGGAAGAATCTAATTGATCAGTAAGCTATGATACTACCTGTGACATTTTGATTCAAATCCAGCAAATGTTTCTTAAACACCTACTACTTGCCAAGCAAAAATTATCTGATTTAATCCTTACAACGAACTTTTAAAGATATATTAAGGCTATATAAGCTTAAAAAAACAGAATGCAACAAAGCCCTGTAAGCTAGCAGAACAATTAATTCTCCATAATTCCCCATTTACTATTAGAGATCTGAAAGTTTTATTAAAAACATCTATAATAATAAAAGCGTAATATGCTAATTAGACCGGACTCCCTTCTGGATGTCCTTCTAGCCCAGCGGTTCTCAACCTGTGGGTCGCGACCCCTTTGGGGGTCGAACGACCATTTCACAGGGGTCTCCTAAGACCATCGGAAAACACATATATAATTACATATTGTTTTTGTGATTAATCACTACGCTTTAATTATGTTCAATTTGTAACAATGAAATTGGGGGTCACCACAACATGAGGAACTGTATTAAAGGGTCGCGACATTAGGAAGGTTGAGAACCACTGTTCTAGACAAAGCCGGGGCTGTGAGGGAAGCCCCGGTCCCGGGTGCCTGCTGGCAGCCGGAGCGAAGCCCGGGTCCCGGGTGATGGCCCAGGTCTCGAGTGCCTGCTGGCAGCTGGAAGGAAGCCTGGGTCTAGGGTGCCAGAGGGAAGCTGGTGCAGGCAGCCGGGGGAAGAAAGGTCTACTCTTGCATGAATTTCGTGCATCAGGCCTCTAGTCCTATATAATAAAAGGTTAATAAGCAAATCGACCAAACAGCAGGGGAAAAACAGTTGCTATGATGCGCACTGACCACCAGGGGAGCACTGCTCAGCCAGAAGCAGGGATCGAGAGTGGTGAGTGCAGCAGTAGTGGTGGGAGCCTTTCCCACCTCCGTGGCAGCGCTAAGGATGTCCAACTGATGGTTTTGGCCCACTCCCCATGCCTAAGCCTTCAGTCGGACATCCCCCGAGGGCTCCCAGACTGTGAGAGGGCGCAGGCTGAGCTGAGAAACACCCCCCAAGTGCACAAATTCGGTGCATCAGGCCTCTAGTCTATATATATAAAAGGCTAATATGCTAAGTGTCCGACCATCTGACTGGTTGCTATGATGCACACTGACCAACAGGGGGAAGACATTCAACGCAGGAGCTACTGTGACATGCACTGGCACTGCAGACCTGGCTCCCACAAAGCAACACTTGGCTTCCCCCAAGTGGGACACAGGCCCTGCCACCACCCCAGAGCGACACCCCACCAAATAGCAGCTAATGCTGCCGGGACCCCATGACGCAAAATGTGGCCCACAGCCCAGCCCAGCCAGGAAACAGTTGCTGTGGGTGCCAGGTAATGATGTAACATAGCAACGCCCGGCTTCCTCTCCCTCCTTGCTGTTTCTTCATGAACATGATCTGCTTTATAGTCAGATGCAAACATTTCACACTTTAAACAAATGTCTGAATCATTTTCCCGTGCCTCATCTCATTTGATCCTCACAAAAGTCCTGGAGTAGGTAGATAGGAAACTTGGTAAAATCCTGTTTTCTTTTCATTAGCCGGAACGGGCCGGTTAAACAAATTGAATCATTTTCCCGTGCCTCATCTCATTTGATCCTCACAAAAGTCCTGGAGTAGGTAGATAGGAAACTTGGTAAAATCCTCCTTTCTTTTCATTAGCCGGAACGGGCCGGACATGCCCTGGAGCCCTCCCATGGTCCCTCTCCAGCTGGCCAACCTCCCGCGTCCCTCCAGGGCCCTGATCGTGCAC